TGTTTTTTAAAGTTACAGTAATTCTTGGCTGTGAATAACTAGAAGTCAGCTGTTATTATTATCTTTTACTTATTTACACTTGTGCTTTCCCTGCTGTAACATGTGGAAATGTCTTTATTTTAAAAAGGTCTGAGATTGTGATTTAAGGCATTTTGTCACATTTAAAATCAGCATTAAAATTACTTTACTAATTATTTTAGACCTGCCTGTGTCAGCTTTGGCAGCTTTTACTGGAACTGAGTCCTGTCATCGTCTTCCAACCTTATTCTCATAGCAAAGTTGACTGTTTTCAATATTTTTTGGTTTTTAATTATGCACATGCACCAATTCTGCACCAGTGTCATGCTATATGACCAGCTCGCTGTATGGCCACATGCACGTCTGTTTAGATAACTGAGGCAATCTCATTAAACTGAAAATAGAAGTACTGTAGAGCAGCAGTTTTAGTGAGTTAATCCAAAAGAAAAGATTAAAATGAGGGACAATTTCATACTTTGAAATTGCAAATTACATTAATGGAACGGATAAGAGGCTAAATTATGCAAAGCCAGAAAATGTAGAGATAAAATACAGATTATCTGCATTGAATAAATATTCTAATTTTAGAATATAGTAATGTACAATGTACCTCCACATATAAAAAGTACAACTTCATCTAATTTAAATTAGAGTGTTGTCACCTTGAAAGACAGGGTCGTTTCAATGTCCACCTGTGGACCACTTCTGCTGCTCCTACTACATTTGAATAACTCTCTGGATGTCCCAATCTTACTGCTTGTACTTGATTACCATATATGTTCTGTTCCACTGTGTAAAATTGCCAACTTCAATTTCATTTTTAGGAAGAGGATTAAGATTTGGGAGTCAAATCCAGCAAGCAGGAACTCATATGCTCTTTGTTTTTGGCCAGACGTGGTGCTGTGTATTATGGCAATGCCGCCGAAAGGACATTGTTTAGGAGCCTTGTGGGTTTTTTCGGCTGCCAGCTTGCAAACCTAAGCCGTGCTGCCGTGTTCTTTTTAGAGAGAAGAGGCTTTGTTCTGGGAACTCTTCCAAACAAGCTGCACTTGTTCAGTCTTTTTTTACTTCAATTGTCATGAACTTTAACATTTAAAAACTAACTGAGGCCTGTATAGTCGGTCCTCTCACTGAAAGATTGTTTTGACAGAGCTGAATACTTCAGACCAGCAAACTGCCAAAACTCAGCTTATGGTCAGTTGATCAGTTAATCAAGTATGGAAGTAGTAAGGGTAAACTTAGTTTTTCGCATGATTACATAGAGTCCTGTGAAAACTTTTTCCCCCCACAGCTGTAATTTACTTCAACAAAGAAGTCATGTTTGCTCTCTGCACAAGTACAGGTCGATAGTGAAACGGCACAGGGAGACATCCCTGAAGGGCAAAGAGAGTGAATTTAAACCAGGTAAGGTGTTTGCTTTTTATAGGCAGAATCACAAACCTTGGTAATCGCTCTTCATGGAGGACTTTCATGGTTATTTTCATGACTTTTTGCTCAGAAACAAACTTATGTCATCTTTTCTTGATTTATTTATTATCTTTGTCATCTACTATTCAGGAGTAATACAAAATTAACCACTTTATTATCTCACTAAAACCACTTTACTTAGTTTGGTTCCTCCACATTTGACAAGTTGCAGCTCATTTAAGATAAACAGTGAATGAGTCAGTGAGTAGATCCGGTACAACGCCTCCAAAGGTTTTTCATCGCGTTGTGTTTTAAGACATAAAATACAATCACAGCGTTGAGCGATTGAGTCAAGGAGCCTGAGTGTTATAGAAAATCCTGGGGTGCAGGCCCACGCATGATCAATGGCATTTCACTCCCAGTGGGCTTTCTAAATACGACTGGGTTTTCTGAAAGGGCTCAGTCTCGAGAGGCCCCATTCAAGATGGCAAGAGAGGACTGACGGGCATGGCACACACACAGACATACACGCACACACAATTCTCCTGCAACACGTGCACCTGTTTTCAGGTGCACATAAGCACACACTCTTACTAAGTCAAATTTGTGCTCACGGTCACTCTGATGCACACACCGGGTTTGTTCTTATTATTTTCTCTTCCTTTCTTTCTTTTTTTTTCTCTCAGACACACACAGTCAGCAGGAGGTGAGTAGCGTGGCTTGGAGATAAGACTGCTATCAGACCTTCATCAGGAACAGCTGCACTCTCATCTGTCTCAGCAGCCCTTTTCTTTATCAGTTCCATCAACTCGTCCTCCCTGTGTTCTCTCTGTCCTCCTCCTGTCTTTGTCCATTATATTTGAGACGTTAGAGGCTTACTTGAGTTCTAAAGGAAACAATATATTATTTTATAGATATTTGAAAGGCACAAGGCTTTACTTTGAATTGAGGGATATAATTTGACAGTGCTATTAAAAAATGCAAGGCCAAACCATGTGAATAATCCTGAGGCTTCATGCAGCTTGAGTCTTGCTTGTCAGAATGTGTAAGCTTCTACTTTCAAATTCTCACTGTAATCATAGGCTTATATATCTTATATATCTCAAGATATAATAAAAACACAATCTGTCCTTAGCTGGTCTTAAAATTAGATCAATACAACCTCAAATGAAGTATAAAAGACGGCCTGTTACACCATGTCATGATTTATTTATTATCTAACCCCGATTCTGTTTCCATCCAAATTAAGAAGGTAAGTAGCAGCCAGGCGCTTCTAATCAGATGCACTTAATTAATTGATGAGCAGAAAATGTGATCACCTCAATGAAAGAAGATGTTTTACTATTTTGCTCATCTGCTGTCTGCTATGGTGGGAGCTTAAAAACCTTATAAATGCCTGCAAACCTCAATGACATAAAACAGCGTTGTAAAGTCCAGAAAACAGTGACCTTAAGTTATTGCTGCTAAAGATGTTCTGCAGGCTTTTGAATCAGGGGGTTAACTTAGTTTTTCCACACACTGCTTCTGCATTTTGGCTTAGTTTGTTCAAATGAATGACACACAGTAATATGCCATGTGTTAAGGTTAGGTATTTACCTAAAATAAAGACCTGCTAAGGACGACATATTTCCTGATAATTTTGCATTAATACCTTAAAATTAATAGAGGGTCATTTTTTAAAATTTACATTTACATTATTAAATATTAATGACACAAAGATAAAAAAGAGACATGATGGATTCCACTGGCAACAAAAAATGCAAAACAATTTCAGCCATGTAGAGTTATGAGTCTGCAGAGTAAGAAAAACAATCATGTGATGGGAGCACTAGTATATATTACTTTGCTATTAGAGTAATGTATTCGTTTTTGTGTATATTTTGGGTGTCACATTTCTGTGATCAACTCATTTCTCTGTTGCTTTAAGCCAGTGAACCCAAAATAGGATTTCTGTTTTAGCATTTAATAGAACAGGATTGTTTACTTTTCAAGAATATTTCCCATCCTGAAGTGCTGAGAAATGCACAGAGAGGATGTTAGAGGGTTAAAGAACAATTTAAAACATTTCTTGCTGGAATGAGATTTCAATTTGCTGCTGAAGATTAGAAGTGAGTCAGCAGTCGTGTCTGCAGTGGGAAGGTCATTCTACAAATGTAGAGTCTGTAAAAAAGAAGAAAGTTTATTTATTTTTTTTGTTTTTGCATCATTAAGTGAAGCAGAAGCATCACAAAAACTGGGAAAGACAACATAAAACTGTTCCCGATAAACAAGAGAAGTGACCACTAGGGGTCACTTCTATATTACCCACCATTAAAAAGGTGTTACTATACAGAGATTTTGCACTATTTAATACATTGCATGACAGTCATATATGCCTCATTATGATATCTGTTCACGTGCAGAATAAAAAGCAGTAGAACTTTTAATCAGGGCAGTTAAATGGCTTCTTTAGCCTGAAGAGATTCTTGAATGCATATGTGATGAACATTTTCATGGTACTGTGCAGATCAAAACAGCTCATTTGGCATTTTGATGTTGATGGTGGTGGAAAATGTTGTCTAATATATTTCAAATTCTCCTGCATAGTGCTCACTTGGGTTGAGACCTGTGGGCTTTCAAAGCCATATCATACATTTGACATTTTTTTCGTAATCAACACGTTCAATGACCTTTAATACCCCGTGGAATATATTGTCATCCTGGGAAAAAATGATCCTTCTCCCATCAGAATAGAAGGCTTCAGCATGGGAGAAAGGTGATCAGTCAGAACAGATTTGTATTGATTTCCCTCTAAAGGACAAGAGGACCTAAACTGTGCAAGCAAAATACCCCTCACAGCATAGCAGAGCCACAAGATGCTCTCATTGGAGGGGCTCTTGTTCCTTTAATTTGTCACCAGTCTGTTACTATTTTACAATAAACCCTGCCGCACCTTGGGTATCTCAGTGGTTTGGTTAAGGTGTGATGTCACAGGTTTGTTACCTGGCTGGCCATTTAATAAGGGATGCTGAGGTAACTTTGTGTTTGGAGCCACAGACCGTGGAAAAAGTAGGTTTTGTTGATCAAACCCCAAAGAGAATGACATATCCCTTTTTGATGAACAGATTTGAGAATTTTATTATTATTTTATTACTTAAAATTTTATATATTCCAGGAAAGCTCGGTTTGTCAAGCTTTTTTAAATCAGTGTTTCTGTGAGCGTGCAGACACTTGAGCTTACTAAAGCCAGCAGTCCCCCTTCATGTTTTGATGAGAGAAGCTGATCTCTTACCTGTGTCTTATCACATATTAGATCTGATATAACAATGTGCTGAGCTTTGATGGAGTTCTGGTGGGAGTATTAGGTTTGTTAATGTGATAGAGCAATGGAAGTGCTGTTAGTGTTGCAGTGTAGGAATCCACCAAGCCCGTTGGAGAAGATGATTAATACACTCTTTGATGTCTTACCGGCAAAGTGTCGTGGAGGATTAATCCATTTATAATGGCTCTGATGTGTGTGTGTGTGTGTGTGTGTGTGTGTGTGTGTGTGTGTGTGTGTGTGTGTGTGTGTGTGTGTGTGTGTGTGTCCATTGCAGTGGAGTTTAAGAAACTGGACTTGGCTTCATTGCAGTCTGTACGTCAGTTCGCCCAGAGCTTCAGAGAACGGGACCTGCCGCTAAATATTTTGGTCAATAATGGTGAGTCTTTGTGTTCTGTCCTTGTGTTATATGAGCGTGCAGCCGGACTCTGCACAACGTTTATCAAATATTTATTGAGAGAAGTAGAAAGCCTCTGCGCAGCTGTGTAATTTCAATGCAGTCGCCTGGCTGAATTTAAAGGGAGTTTGAGAATTAAACACAGATCCAGTCACACTGTGAAATGTTCCGCACGCGTCCTTGGATACTGTATACAGTGGGGCAAAAAAGTATTTAGTCAGCCACCGATTGTGCAAGTTCCCCCACCTAAAATGATGACAGAGGTCAGTAATTTGCACCAGAGGTACACTTCAACTGTGAGAGACAGAATGTGAAAAAAAAATCCATGAATCCACATGGTAGGATTTGTAAAGAATTTATTCGTAAATCAGGGTGGAAAATAAGTATTTGGTCAATAACAAAAATACAACTCAATACTTTGTAACATAACCTTTGTTGGCAATAACAGAGGTCAAAGTTTACTATAGGTCTTTACCAGGTTTGCACACACAGTAGCTGGTATTTTGGCCCATTCCTCCATGCAGATCTTCTCGAGAGCAGTGATGTTTTGGGGCTGTCGCCGAGCAACACGGACTTTCAACTCCCGCCACAGATTTTCTATGGGGTTGAGGTCTGGAGACTGGCTAGGCCACTCCAGGACTTTCAAATGCTTCTTACGGAGCCACTCCTTTGTTGCCCGGGAAGACTCATGTTGGAAGACCCAGCCTCGTTTCATCTTCAAAGTTCTCACTGATGGAAGGAGGTTTTGGCTCAAAATCTCACGATACATGGCCCCATTCATTCTGTCCTTAACACGGATCAGTCGTCCTGTCCCCTTGGCAGAAAAACAGCCCCATAGCATGATGTTTCCACCCCCATGCTTCACAGTAGGTATGGTGTTCTTGGGATGCAACTCAGTATTCTTCTTCCTCCAAACACGACGAGTTGAGTTTATACCAAAAAGTTCTACTTTGGTTTCATCTGACCACATGACATTCTCCCAATCCTCTGCTGTATCATCCATGTGCTCTCTGGCAAACTTCAGACGGGCCTGGACATGCACTGGCTTCAGCAGCGGAACACGTCTGGCACTGCGGGATTTGATTCCCTGCCGTTGTAGTGTGTTACTGATGGTGACCTTTGTTACTTTGGTCCCAGCTCTCTGCAGGTCATTCACCAGGTCCCCCCGTGTGGTTCTGGGATCTTTGCTCACCGTTCTCATGATCATTTTGACCCCACGGGATGAGATCTTGCGTGGAGCCCCAGATCGAGGGAGATTATCAGTGGTCTTGTATGTCTTCCATTTTCTGATGATTGCTCCCACAGTTGATTTTTTTCACACCAAGCTGCTTGCCTATTGTTGCCTATCAGAAATTACTGACTGATGTATGGGTTTCACTTTAACCTTTGCGTTTTTTGTGTTTTATCTCTATTACTTTTTTATGTAAAATGTTAAATTAGTCTTGTAGCATTTGAATTAAATTCACATTTGAAATACTAAAATGCATTTTTTTGTGTATCAAATATTTGTGTGTGGATGTGTGTGTCAAGCGGGTGTTATGCTGGTTCCTGAGGGGCGTACGGAGGATGGATTTGAGCAGCACTTCGGTGTGAACTACCTGGGACACTTCCTTTTGACCTGGCTACTCCTGGATACACTGAAGGATTCTGGGAAATCGGGTCATGTCTCTCGTGTGGTCAACGTCTCATCCTCAGCTCACTGCATCGGACAGATCAGACTAAATGACCTGAATAGCCGGTAGGTACACACAAACACAAATGTCCAAAGACATGCATCTGATGCACACAATACCTGAAGTTAATAACAAATAATAAACTAATAAATAGTTAAAATGATATATAGACTTAAAAAATGCTTGCTTCAGATGCAAACTGAGTCATTTCATGTAATTGCTATTGTCACAGTGGTCATTAATTTTTCACTTTAGTGTTTGGTGGTTATCAGCCATTTACTATTGAGCCACAAACATATTTAATGATGTGTGACATTCACATTAAGCGCTTTATTAAAAAAGATAAAGTCAACCCTTCGATATTCTTTAAGAAGAGCGGTTCACATCCTTGTGTATTGTGCTCACCTGCCTTCTTTATGCTGAGATCAGTATTACACATCTCAGTTTGGCACAAGTGGACAACTGTTGGTTCCAGTTGGCTCTGTATCGCTCCAGCTCTCAACACTGCTGTCAAGATGTATTAACAGCCTGAATATCGTCATCATGTCGTTACATAGATATATTGGTGTTTAATATCCAAGGTCTTAAACTCAAATGCTGATTTAACTCAGTACAGACTTCTTTTAGTCCAAAAGCCTAGCATAACATTTATAATACCCTTGTTAAGTTTCGGGGACATTATAAATATATTATGTTATTTAAATAATAATTTTAAGCTTCTATCATACTACACACATTATATAGTTGAGGACAGAATTATTAATATTTTATTAATTAATTCCTTTTTTTATTTTTGAGGAATTTAGTTTGTTAGCAAAGTGAATTAATATAATTTAATCAGATTTTTGGAAAAGCTGTGTTAAAAGTTTCTTACTTTTTCATAGGGAGGATAATAATTGACATTCTTTCTTGCTCTCTCTGTATTCAGCCAATCTTACTCCTCACATGCTGCTTACTGTCAGAGCAAGCTGGCCCAGGTGTTATTCAGTTTCCACCTCCACCAAGAGATGCAGAGTGGAGGTTTCCAAGTGAGTTCGTGTGCCGTGGATCCCGGCATGGTGGATACCGCACTCTACCGCCACCTCTGGACACCCCTCCATCTGGCACAAAGTGTCATCGCTCGCCTGCTCTTCAGGGTAAAACACGGCTCTGCATTTTCTGTTGTGTCCCAACTGTAATATTCACCTTGTAGAGAAGTAGCGCACAATGTACGGTTCAGATCAAATATAGTTGACATGTGCTTAAAGTAAATGCATTTTATACTGTTCACACTGTATCACAGAATGATCACAGTAATTGAGCTTCAAATTATTTTATTGTTAGAAGAATAGCTTGTAACAACAACATAGCAACCCTGGATAATTTAAGTGTTTCCTCAACTCTTGAGTTGCAGTTTATTCTGCGTTGTGAGGTTTTGGAACTGGAAATCTCTAAAAGTTAAAACTGTTAGATGTGAACCTACAAACTTGACTGTGGGCACTCTACAGATTGTATTATGAGATGAAACAGACACACACACACACATACAGTCCATCCACCCTGCTGAAAATGGAAGTGCTACTAAAACTCCAGCCCCTTCACTTTGTGTTACATTTTAAAGCCTTCTTTGCATAACTTAAAGCACTGACCCCAGGCTGCTGTTAATGTCCCTGAGATTTAATGGAAGAAGATGTGTGTGCATGTTTGAGCCCCAAGCCACAATTGTCACATTTGCCTGTGAGCACAACCTTTGGAATAGTTTTGCCCCACATACAGTATGCAAACTTATTATCATGTGAAATAGTCCATGTAATTATTAACTAACACACACACATTTATTTTGCCTTTTACAACACCTTTTTATTTTAAACTCGGGGATTAAAGTTGGATTTTGCCCTAAGATTGGGTGTAATGGTGCCACATCGGGAAAATACGTAGAAGCAGGTTGTTAAATGAAGAGCACAGAGTGATGTAGAAATATGTCACTTTATTTGACCACTATTAGCTTTTTCTTTGTGTAGAGGCTGTGATCAGCTGACAGGTGCTACTTTACTGCTCTTTGTTGATTTAGCCAACTGAATTTAACTTTGTGATATTCTGATCAGCATCACATCAGGTGTAGACTCAATGTCTTATTTTAAAAAACACCCGTCTGAAACATCCGTCTCAGTGTTGCAAACTGTGTCTGTTGATATTTGTTGATCTGTTTGAAAAGTTCCATTTTAAATTATCTGCCACTGTTTATGCACGGTTTTCTTTTTTAGCACTAGTAGGATGCTTAGGTACCATGACAGCAATCTACACCACGAATTCATCCCAAGGAGGAAAAGGAAAATGGATGTTTTGAGGGTGTAGACAAACTGTCAGGTGTCATGATTTTCCTCTTATTTAACTATCTCCTCGACGTTAGCTGGAAGCAATGCCAAGTTGCAGCATATGAAAAGTCAGTAGAAAGTATTTTATATTAAACTGATTTAATTAATAGCCCACTTTAACCCCTGCGTAAGCCATATCATTTAGTTGATTGCAGAGCCATATAACATTGAAAGAGGACAGCGTACTTGATCCTAAATCACAAAACAAAGTCAGATCCATGGAGGTCACAGAGGAAAGGAACCGTGGGTCATTTTCTAATAGGCATTTATTTGGAAGTCTTTTTGAAACAAGAGGAGGTGCCCCCTGCTGACTATTGAAAAAAATATACAGGTTTGAGTGGTCTGGAGCAATAGTTCTCTAGGCTTTCTGAAGGTTTTTCAGAGTTTTTCTTTGAACGCTGGCCAGACCTTATACCCACAGAAGAGGATTAGGGCCACCGGGAAAAAACAAAAAAAAAATGAGCACATCTTTTTTTTTCTTTTCCAGAATTCTGAGAAAAAAGTCAGAATTCTGACTTTTTTCTCAAAATTCTTTTTTACCAGAATACTGACCTTAATCTCAGAATTCTGATTTTCTTTTCAGAATTCTGGTAGATAGACTATTAACGAATACTTGGCGTATTCACAAAAAATTCAGTTGTATAGTAAAGAATGAAAATAGAGTTTGCAAATACTGACTTTTGAGTTCATTAGAATTGTGCAAAGTCTGTTTTTGCATTTTATACTGTATTTCCATCTTTCAGTAAATTGCTGTTCCTATTTCCCATTTCCCATATTGAAAGTCAATGAACCTAGTACAATTTCTGAGAGTGCGGCACAATCAATATCCAGAGGAAGTAATAATGGCAACAAAAATGCAGCATCCATGAGAGTAAAGCAGTGAAGTGGTGAACAACAAAGCAATAGATGAGCTAGTATGAGAAGGTTCAGGTTCCTTTATTGATGCCCTTAGGTAGATTTCTTTTGCAGTTAAAAGAGCAGGCAACCCATCAACCAGACATCAAACACAGACACTGGCTACATATACAGAGGGAAAGAGAGCATTCTCCAGGCTTCAATAAAATCACAGCTTCAAACCCCCAAACTAATAAATACTATAAAAAGGCCAAAAAAATGTAATAAATTAATGAATACATTCAAATTAAGTGCACAATTTGCAATAGCTTTTCAGCTTTTTCCCTCTGGAAAAGATGAAAATCCCGCAGGGGATGGGAATCATCATTTAAGAGCTGGCCATCCTCTGCAACTGTCTGGTATACATCGACTCTAGGCTAAGCTGCAATTTACCAATCAGCTGCCCTGACCAGTTTACAGTTTGACTCAGTTTGTTCCCGTCCTTCAAAGACAGGTCACCATGACACCAAGGAAAAAGATAAAACTGACTTAATAAAAGATTTTAAAAAAATATTGTCATAATGGTCTTATCAATATGAAAGGAGGACCTTGATGACCCTTTTTTCAAGATTCGAGGTTCAAGACGTTTATTGTCATGTACACTGCAAAACACAATTGGTTACACAGAGTAATGAAATTCTTACTTTGCAGGTTCCCTTCACACAACTAAAAAGACTAAAAACCAACTTAAAAGAAAGTAATAATAAGTAAGTAAAATAGTGCTTGTAGACGTGGTGTAATCAGAATTTAAAGTGCAAGTAGTTGCAACACTGTCACAGTGATAATATATACAGAATATGCAATATTACAATGTATATGTAAAGATACGTACAAAAATTGCAAATTTACAAGTTAGTATAAATGTACATATATATAAGTGTTTTGGACACTGCTTCACAGTTTGTGTGAAAATTCAAGCTTGAATCAATAATAGTCCCCTGATATTTGCAGGGACACATTCCTTGGTTTGACCCTTAATGTTTGTGGAATCAAATATGCTGGAATTTTTCCTGAAATCCACAATTATTTTCTGGGTTTTCAATATGTTGAGCTGGAGATAACAATCTTTACACCACCTGAAAAAGTGCTCAATAGCTTGTTTATGGCTGGTTTTCCTTTCCGTGTATGTAAAAGACTGACAATGACCGTGTCATCTGCATACTTTAAAATGGCCCTACCATCAAGCATCCAACTGCTGTGGAAACCGTTGCCCCTCCCCCCAATCACAGAAAGAGTTGGGTGTTTTGTTGTTGCTGTTGTCTTTCTGTACTAAAACTCCTACGTGGATGGAGAGACTTTTTAACTACAGACAGCAAAATGAATTATGAAGAACACGTTTTGCTTGCCAACACCCCCCCCCTCCTTTTTTGTACTTAAAAATTCAGCCCTTCAAGCAAAATGATAATTCACTTAGAAGAACAATTAAAATTGATGTTTGAAATTATTGCACAGTAGTACAGCATACACGCATCACAGACAGCACTCACGTACTGTTATACACGAGTATGCAAGTGTGCTGTTAAAGCTTTCAGGTTGTGATCCTCTCTCTGCTCAGAAACCTGCTGCTGGTCTCACTGCTGACACTGAGATCATTGTTAAAATGCATCAACACCAGCGCTCTCAAGCGTACGCTCATCCATGAAAAAACACACACACACACACACACACACACACACACACACACACACACACACACACACATGCACTTACCCTGAGCCTTCCTTTCAGTGATGCTAACACACAGTGACATTAGCCCTACTCTTTCATCCGTGTCCACACACACACTTAGGCACATTTTTTTGTCTACGTGAAGATAGGTTGTTGTTGATCTTGTCATCCATTCCAGTTCTTTTCTTTATATATTTTATATGCAGGAGCTCTTTAAATTTTTAATTGTGTTTATGTGTTTGTCCCTAGACTCCTGAAGAGGGCGCTACCACTGTGCTCTCTGCTGCTCTGTCACCTGCTCTGGAGGGAGATTGTGGAGGAGGTTACTGGGCCAATGGGTGCAGGGAGATGACAACACCGCTGACCTTTGATCCCCAGCTGCAAGTGAGCCTATGGGAAATCAGCCTCCAGTTGCTGAACCTCCACTAGCATGAGACAAGGATGACCAACAGGACTAAACCCATTTGACAACATCAGATAAAAAAGACCCTATATTCAGGGTGGCCAGCCATTCTCTCCTCCCTTTTTTTTTCATACTTCACATCAGGGCGTTGCTAGCAATTTGTTACAAGTGTCATAATCCAGTGCTGGACTGTGATTGGTTGTTTAGAGAGCAAAGATCTCTTTCTTTTAGGGTTTTTTTTTTTAGTTTTATTTTTTATTTTCTTTTTTCCAGACCTGCCAAAGAAGGGCTACAGGGGATGGAAGATGCTTTTTTTGCTTTTCACTGTGAGCAAGCGAAAATATTTGCACACACACAACCACACTTTAGGGGTGTAGCTATATGTCATTTTGCTGTCATGGATAGCAGGGAGTTGCTGTTGGCGCCATCTAGTCAGATATCAGTTAATGGCACCCACCAATGATATGATGAGTTTGATTCCCTGATCGCGTATCAGAGAATCAGTCATCTGCTATGATACAAACCTTACTTGGATTTTTCAATTAGTCCGGCCCACAATAACTAAATTCCTCTTGGAAGCTTTTTCACATCAACAAAAAATTCCAATAAAGTAATCCAAAAGCTTAATTTTGGCAACAAAATAACATATTGGTCAAACCCTAGCATACGCGCACATACAGTACACACACATTTATACACCATGACAATGATCTGATCTGATCCTGCCTTGCTGTGGCAAGGGAATGTGATGTCATCAGTTTGCGTTGACACATCACTGCGATTTCTCAGATCGTATTGCCATCCGGCCTCTTTTACTGGGAGCACTTTGTTTTTATTGGTTACTATTGAATCATCATGTTAACTGCTGGTTGTAGTTGCATGAGTAGATGTTTTTACAGACGTGAATTTAGCTGAAAAGCTAAGAATCCATCATCGTCTCCTCTTTCCTCTCTCCGGCGCGCAGTAACCCAACAAAAGATGTTCCTTTTGACTGCTAGGGGGATTTGGGAAGAGGTTTAAAGAAAGTGAGATATTTCAGATAAAAGTAAGCCTAAATTTGGAATGATTCCCCTTCGACCCAAGAGTGATGAAACGTTTGGTTGAGTTGCTGTGAATTTTTATGCTGTTATTTCTAAAGCGGAATTTCCAGCTGTTTCTGGTTGTCTGCTCAAAAAAAATGAGAAAAAAAAAAGGTTTGGGAACCGACCTCAAATTCATTTTGTCACCGTTTTCCTTTGTGATCTGTGCTAATCGCTTTTTTCTGTGTCTGTGATACGTGTGCATGTATTATGCACACAAGCTAAGAATTAACTCATGTATAGACCCAATTCATGCTGATGGATAGCACAACAATGGCTAACCCCGGAGGAACTGCAACGAGAAGGAATGCGAGAGAGGGGAAAGCACATTTTTTCAGCATTCAAACTGTGATTGGTTCCTCATTGCTGCTGCTACTGCCTCTTCCTCATTTGGCGCCGCTCCCAGTGCATTGTGGGATTGAGATTTCCCAGTAGTGAGAATCAAACTCCATCTGCTGAGCTGACACACACACACACAGACACTCACTCAGAAACATTGGAAGCAGTACATCCAGGCATAGGCTTATCCAAACAAGCGCACAGCAAATAAACACGTCTGTCTGTGATGCAGGAACATGCTCACACACTCTTACACACATACAAAGACACACTTAATGCCATCTCCACTGTGATTAACATGTTTTAGCTGTGGGGATGAAAAGTGTTATCTCAAATTAATTAAGTTTTGGCTAAAATCCTTAATCACAAGTCATCGCTGTAGTGTATGTGTACGTTGTTGCTTTGAATAAAGCCAGTTCGCATCCAGCATTCATTATGATCTGCCGCATGTGAAGCGATAGTATCACTGTGGTAGCTAATTCAGCCAGTGGCACAGTGTCAGACATGAAGAATAGGAACAAAGTGTAACGGAAGAAAATGCATAAAGGAAAAAGGCATCAGCTTTAAGGCACTCATTGCTTAAATGGTTACATTTAATGTGATTCTCACTGTTTTGTCAAGCAGTTTAAGTATTTGTCTCAATTCAGAGACGAAAAAATCGTCCTTCAGAGAATTTGTAGGACAGACTGACCCGCTGCCGCCACCGCTAAATCAGACGACAGTCTAAATTTACAAGGGGAAAAAATAAAGGCGTATTTGCCCCATCCTTGTCATCTTATAAAGTCATTTTTGATTTATGTTATTCATAAGTGTATTGGGCTTTTTGGTTCATGTGATATATCTACCAATGATGTGTCAACCCAAATATCTGCCTAATATCTTATGAATATTTGAATATATGAGTTGACAAAGATTGCAAAAATGCGCAGGAACCTGCACTTTGAAGGGAGGCATTATGCTAAAAAACCCTCTTTAAGATTCCCAGGACTTTGCGAGGATTCACAATCTCGTGGCAGTCGGCCCTATGAGCATCACAAATACTGACGGTATAATACTGAAGCCGTTACATTTGGAATTTATTAGTTTTGACTGATACATTTGGCTGAGATGAGAAAGCCATCTGTATTCATCTGGCTTCCAGGTATTCAGTATCTATTATTATCTGGTGCCAAGTCAAATACGCTGAATTGTGGGAGAAAAATTTTGAGGGGATGAAAAAATGACAGATAAAATAAAAGGAACACCTCCCGGTCGTAGTTATTATAACTATCAGGGTGTGACACGGACTCTGATATGATGTGAAGGCACCATAACTCCAAGACAACTCATCAAAGTTTACATCCCATAAGAGAGGCTTATTCTGATTAGAAATTAAAATATAATTTTAAAGCAAACATCAAAGTTTTTTTTTTTCTAGATTAGCAATTGTGTGTGAGCTGACTCTAAATACCAGCAATATTGCTCAGTCTTTTGAGTGTTGTATTGTTTTTCAGGCTGCTTGAAAACAGTTTATTGCCTCAGTGCTTCCTTTGTTTGACTGTGTGGTTGCCCTTGGCCACTGTAAGGTACTGATTAAATAACAAACAGCCAAACCTAGTGCATATCTATACATCTATATATCTCTCTACATATAGATATATAAATATAAAATGCACATGCTTCCGTTCACACAAATAAAAACACCAGCCTATCCACTCAGTGGCGCTTATTGAAAGAATTCAAGGCTACAATATGACATACATCCTGTCAAAGAGCTACCGTGTTTTTCTCAGCTGCTACAGTAGATGTATTTTAGCTGGAAAGGGCGAGTGGGGGAATGTCACAGACTCTCCCTTCTATCTGAGCACAAGGTTTTCCAAAGACGAAAGGAGGAAACGCGCACGGATCTGTCTCAGTGTGCTTATCGTGTCGACGTGCAGAAGTGACTGCTAAATTATCACTGATTTACCCGGTTATATACGGTATTTAGCGTCCTCCTGAAGCATTCTACACAGACACGACAACACGGTGAACTTTCTGAACTCGATTTGCAAATATAGAAAAAGAACAACAGCTCCAGTAACTGTCTGTGATATTATCTGTGTGTTATTTACTCGTATATGATCGTTTCAAAGCGTTGGAGGAGACCAGTGAAGACATTTGTAGATTAACAATAGCCATTCCTCTGAACAACCTGGGATCACATTTATATTAAATGTTCCAGTCCCAAGTTCTGCAAAATCTTAAATGTGTATATTTGCACTGGTGTGAAAAAGTGTTTTTTCCCTTGCTGATTTCCAATGTTTTTGTATGTTTGTCACACTTAAATGTTTTAGATAATCAAACAAATTTAAATATTAGACAAAGTTAACACAAGTAAACACAAAATGCAGTTTCCTAATGAAATTGTTTTATTATTAAAGGGAAAAAAATTCCAAACCTACATGGCCCTGTGTGAAAAAGTGATTGCCCCCTAAACATAATAACCCTTAGCAGCAGCAATCTACAGTCAAACGTTTGCGATAACTGGTAATGAGTATTTTACGCTGTGGAGGAATTTTGAATTTTGTTGAATCTTTGCAGAACAATTGTTGTTCAAGCATAAACTGCTTTTTTAAGGTCAGGCCGCAGCATCTCTATCGGATTCAGTCAGGGCTTTGACTGGGCCACAATGAAGTTTTCATTTTGTCTTTCTTAAGCTATTCAGAGGTGGAGCTGGTGTGTTTTGGATCATTGTCCTGCTGCAGAACCCAAGTTTATGTTCCTTTTCCTCAGGAGTGGTTTTCGTCTTGGAACTCTATGCAGACCCAGTCTCTTTCTTATGGTGGAGTCATGACCACTGACTTTAACTGAGGCAAGTGAGGTCTGCAGTTCTTTGGTTCTTGTTCCGGGTTCTTTTGTGACCTCCTGGATGGGGTAACTGTGGTAGGCTGGCCACTCCTGGGAAATCCACCCCAGTTCCAGGTTTTCTCCAGGTGTGGATAATGGCTCTCACCATTTGTCAGACAGGTTCTATCTAAGGGATTTCTTGATTCACCAGGTCTGGCAGTAAATAAGCCTTAGGCTAGCAGTGAAACTACACTCAACTTTGTAAAACGTGGTTAATTACAGCTAAATCGTGATTTAACAAGGTGGGGCAATCACTTTTTCACACAGGACCATGTAGGTTTGGATTTTTTCCCCCTTAATAATATTAATAATAAACACCTTCATTTAGAAACTACATTTTGTGTTTACTTGTATCATCTTGGGGGGGCAGGGATAGCTCAGTAGGTAGATTGGTGGCCCCATGATCGGAAGATTGAGGATTCGAATCCACTGAACGGCTATCCTGAGTAAGGCACTGTCCCTACACGCTGCTTCCCGAGCGCCCAATGCCTGCCCACTGCTTCACTGAGTGAACGGGTTAAATGCAGAGAGGAATTTCCCCATGGAGATCAATAAAGTATACATTATTATTATTATTATCTTGGTCTAATATTTCATTTTGTTTGATGATCTGAAACATTTAAGTGTGATGAACATACCAGAAAATCAGAAAGCAGGCACTCCACTGTATATTCAGTGATATAAAGATGTAAACGGGGGGTTAAACCAGATGAACTGAGTCCTTACTCTGGTACTATTCCAGTTAAAAGAAGCCACATTCTAGTGTCGTTTAACCTTTATTGCATACACCCCTAAACTGTTTTCTCCTTTGTTGTGAGAGCGACCTTTCAATTGAGCCCCTGGAGGCTGCAAATCGAAGACATTTCCCACCTCAAATCCATTGTAAACATTCAGTGCACCTGGGCCCCCTGAGTTTTTATTGAAATGTGTGGAATGTTTTATTTTTATCATTATTTCGTTGTTGTTGATCTTATTGCTTTTGCTGTGCCTAAAAAAGAAATCTCCCTCACCGATGTGTTAACTGTGAATTTTTTCATGTAGAAATTAACTCGTAGAACTTGTGATACCGTCTTGTCCTGTGCATTGATAAGATTTCTCTCTCTCTCTGGAGTGATTGGAGTGGAGGTGAAGAATGTTTGTGTATGAATGCCTGTGCGTGCGTGCGCGTGCGTGTGTCTCTAGATAAGGGTGTTGATGTCTATGATCTTTTTTTTCTTCTTTTTTTAAAAAATTTTTTTTGGGTTTTTTTGGTCAATTATTGTGACATTCCAGCAGCCGTCACCTTTTCTATTATCCAAAGCCTCTCAATAAACATATCATTGTGCCATTTGCTCTCCATCCTTCTTCCCAGCGTGTGAGTGAGAAACCGTCAGTCTGATGTTGCTCGACATGAGACAGCGAGCCTCGAGCACTGTCTGAACTTTTGAGACATTCTCAGATCCATCAGTGAAACGTACACACACGGTCATTTTTCCATTACAATAGAGGACCTTACATTCACTTAAATTGTTTTTCTTCAGTCTTACAGTGCCTGCCTGATCTTAACTTTAATCTCACATTTACCCTAAAATTGAATGATTTTTAGAGCCTCACAGTATAAATAGGTTTTTTGCAACCACAGTGAAAACAATGCAAGTTCTCACGTTTATTTCTTCCTGTTACCTACTAGTAAGCAGTAGTAATGCAATGACTCTTATATAGCATTAATTTGGCACATTACTATCCAAAGCGACCTAAAGTTACAGTCTGTGTGATTTCAGAGTGGTTTTCTGCTTCATGTCTTGCGCCCTCTATTCTAAACTATGGTAAAAATTCAGATGAAGAGCAACATGTGATTTTACACATTATTTACAGTATTTAACAGCAAAGCCAAAAATCAGATGCAGTGTCTGGAAATTAAGTACAGCCTATGATTCAGTAGACACAGAACCACTTTAAGCTGCACTTTATCAGTCTCTTACCACACCGTTGAGGCATTTTCGCCCACTCTTCTTTACAATGTTGTTTCAACTCGTAGAGGTCTGCAAGCATTTTCTTCAGGGTCACCACAGCATTTCATTGGGGTCGAGGTCTAGACTTTGGACTATTGCAACACTGGGAGCTCCTCCTTCCTTCCAGTCTTTTTCTAATTTTACTGCCATGAAGTTTAACATTTAACATTTAACATCCAATCTGAGGCCGGTACAGTCTGAGATGTAGCTCTTGGGCTTTTTATTCACTTTTTTTCTTTTCCTTTTTTTGTAGTTTCTCTGAGCATTTCATGGTCAGAGTTTAGAGTGAATTTGCTGAAATGTCCACTCCTGGCAAGATAGGCAGCTGTCTTGAATGCCTTCCACTTGTGAATAATCTTTCACACAGTAGGATGATGGATTTCAAATTGTTTAGAAATGGCTTCATAACCTTTCCCAGATTGGACAGCAACAATTGTCTCTCTAAGACCACTGCTGAAGTCTTCCCCTCTACGGCATTGTGTGAATGCACACACTATGGATGCAGCAACAGTCTACTTTAGTGTGCAACCTGCTTCTTGCTCAGAACTTTGAAAACAACAATTTATGCCTGTTTGTTGTTGTTGTTGTTTGTTTGTTTGTAGGAGAACCTGCATCTGTTATTTTTTAATACACACAGGTTGTTTTCAGATGCTTCTGTGGAGAATTGGCCTCCTTTGAAATTTTTCTAATTAAATTAATGAAAGTACAAACAATGTTACAGAAATATTAACTAGAGACAGCCTCAGTTCACCTTTAGTTTGCCAATAATAAAACAAAGTCAGTGACGTGCTGTTATTCGTCGTGGTAAAAAACTGAGGGGTTCAAAGAGAATATATACTTCAGTGCACACAGCAGACTGGAGACCTTCAGACAACATAAACCTCTTCTGAAGTTTTTCTGTGAAGAACTGCAATTTAGGCTTTCACCATCACGCCACTTCATAGCTGAATGCTCTGGTACGATCAGTACTTTGCAACCTGCAATCTGTGAGTCAAGCTAACCTCAGCAGCTCCTTGGTTATTTGTGGTTATTTGTGGGCTATGATAAACTTATACCTTTTACTATGAACCCTGCAAAAACTATTTCAAATTAATTAGTTAATTAATAACTTTTTTGAGGAAATCAAACGCACCCACAAAACCATGAGGAAAAGTCAAGAATCCCTCTTACCACTGATCCTGCCTAAATATATTCATATATTGTAAACCCAGTAAAAGTGTGACATCTGTCTGCGTGCGCATTTGACAATAGACTTTCAATTAGAGGAGGCACTGAAGAGCAGGTGTTTTCTTGCCTTAAAGAAAAGTAAGAAGAATCAAAGGTAAATCAAACCCCCAGCACGTTTGACGGCGCATCTGAATGGCAGGAGAGGAGAGTTACATCATGTATATGTCTATTTCTTAGAATTACTATCTGACACAGCTCTCTGTACTACCAGCACACATATAGCATGTCTGCGCTTAATTGAGTGCTGTCTGAGTTCACTCGAGCAGAAAACGGAAAGAAAGAGTAACCTAAAATGGCAAAATGGCCATCCTCATTTATGTCAAGGTA